TGGTTTTAACGTTCATTTCACCGTTCACTAGGGTGGAGGGTGAGGGTGGGCTGATACACCGTAACAAGAGCTTACCCTCTCATCTCTCCAGGTATATGTCATCTAACGAAAGGCCAATACGCATAGCGCAGGTTACCTTGTTAACATAATCTTTATATCACTTTTCTTACATTACCAGAATGTGGAATGGAAAGTTTTCCCAGATGGATTCACTCTGCCATTGTAGTCAAGGGGCGACCAATGATCTGGGATGTTCTCACGACAACACACTGAAACACAAAGGGAACTGCAGTAATAATTTTATATATTGTTCTAGTCCTGGACCCCAACATGAATGTTGAGGGTACCTTCCTCCCATAGTGGGGTCTCCTGCAGTGGTTTTCTCCTTGCCTGGTGCCCTGCCTCCATTTCCAGGGTTCCCACCCAGACGGCTACATCTCCATAGTGATTCCTGAAGGCAAAGAGGTGCGGGCTGCAGTCTGGCCTCTGCCATGCGTTAGCCGAGATGATGTAGGTCTCAGGCAAATCATGCTCCCACCTGTCTCATTTTCTTCACCTAAAAGTTAGAGACTTTACAGGTGCATTTTCTGACAATGACCAAAAAGTTGGGTTGACAGAATGCGTCTCTCTCCGTGGGCTAGAATAGTTTGAACATCATGCTAAGCTCTGAGGAAACATGCTTTGTGTGTGATGAATTTCACACAGCACCCAGACCTCACACCCAGAGAATCTCACCCGAAGATCCAAGCCTACCAATAGAATTCTTCATACTTCTATCAAGCTGCTAAAATAAAAATTCACAGGGTAGGCATAAACAATGGCAGAAAAAATATTTTGACAGTAGGAGAACTCTATCAACATAAGAGTCTTGTAGTTGATTAAAATTTATTTAAGGCCGGGCGCAGTGGCTCACGCCTGTAACCCTTGCACTCTGGGGAGGCTGAGGCGGGAGGATCGCTTGAGCTCAGGAATTGGAGATCAGCCGGAGCTAGAGTGAGACCCCGTCTCTACTGAAAATAGAAAAATTATCCGGGCATGGTGGGTGGCACATGCCTATAGTCCCAGCTACCCAGGAAGCTGAGGCAGGAGAATGGCTTGAGCCCAGGAGTTTGAGGTTGCGGTGAGTTGTGATGATGCCACGGCACTATAGCTAGGGTGACAGAGTGAAACTCTGTCTCAAAAAAAAAATTTTAAATGAAGACATGGGACATAGTGACTAGGATGAAAACACAGCAGTGTAATAGACATCATGGACAAAAGTTTAAATTCTGATCTTGTAGTTGACATAAACTCTTGTCTGTTTCCCCCACATTTTCGGTGAGGTTATACTTGATCAACAGCAGTCCTCGTCCTGGTTTCCTTTGTTACTGAGTGAACTGTGCTTGCACAGCAGTGATGTGGACCAGGAAGGTGATCTATGGGACTGCAGTAGCTGCTTGCCTTGGTTGGTCCTTCCTGGTCTCATGAGCATGATGCTTTAACCATCTGAGCTAAAGTAGCTGCAACCTCCATACAATGCCAAGAGATATTTACCAACAATGAGAGTGGACAACAATAATCCCGGATATACCTGGTAACAATTTCTTTCTCTCTTTTTTTTTTATGTCTTTAGCGACAAGGTGCCGGGGCAACCAATGGAAAAGAAAAGACCGTTGGCGAAACCGGTAAGACGGACGGGACAGTCCCGCCACGTTTTTCCCCTCTGAGCCCTGGGCACGTGACAGGGCTGGGTCCTGCCTTCCGTCCCCGTCTGCTTACTGTGTACGTCCGTGCTTCGGTTTGCAGCGGAGTTCAGCAATTCTCAGGGAGCACCCGGGGCTGGTTTCACAAAGAAAACCGAGCTAGCTAAACGCAGCGATAAGAGCAGTTTCCCTCCCAGAGGAGGGACTCCCATTTTGGGCAACATGCTAATTAAAATGCAAATATAGTTCTCTGCTTCCTTCATTAGGGTTGGCGAGAATCATCCAAGTTGTTGTGAGGATAAAAGAGATCAAATGAGATAAGTGCTTTGAAAACTGTGAAGTGCTCGACTCCCGAAAGGGTGTTGAAAAATTCGCCTCAGCCTTCCGGAGCACGCACAAGGCAGCGCTGGCCCCAGGGGGTGCGGGCGACAGCCGGATTCCCGGCACCCCACTGGCGGCCAGCGCTGCCTTTGGTGCGTGCTCCCGGAAGGCCTGCAGGCGGCAATTTCTCAACACCTTTTCGGGAGTCGAGGCACTCACAGTTTTCTCAAAGCACTATCCCATTTGATCTCATTTTATCCTCACCAAAACTTGGATGGATTCTGCCCAACCTAATGAGGGAGCAGAGAACTATATTTGCATTGTAAATTTAGCACTGTTGCGCCAAAATGGGAGTCCCTGCCTCTGGGAGCGAAACTGCTCTTATCGCTGCGTCTTAGCTAGCTTCGTTTCGTTTGTGAAACCAGCCCCGGGGTGCTCCCTGAGAATTGCGTGAACTCCGCTGCCAACCGAAGCACGGACGTGACCACGTAAGCCAGATCGGGACGGGAAGAGCAGGACCCAAGCCTGTCACGTGCCCAGGGCTCAGGGGAAAACTGGCGAGGATAGTCACGTCCTCTTACCGTTTTCGCCAGACGTCTTGTCTTTTCCATTGGTTGCCTTCCGGCCCGTTGTCAGCGTAAGACTTAAAAAAGAAGAGGAGATAAGGAGAAATTGTTACCAGGTAATCCGGGATTTTGTTGTCCTTTCTCATTGTTGTAACTTATCTCTTGCATTGTACTGAGTTGCAGCTACTTTAGCTCAGATGGTAAAGCCATCATGCTCATTGAGACCAGGCAAGGACCAACAAGGCAAGCGCTACTGCAGTCCCAAATCAACCCTTCCCTGGTCCAGCATCCTGCTGTTGCAAAGCAGTTACTCAGTAGCAAAAGGAACCAGGAAGGCTGCTGCTTGATCAAGTTAACTCAGCTGAAAATGTGGGGAAACAGCAAGACGTTTACTGTCAACTACAAGAATCAGAATTTAAACTTTTGTCCATGACTGGTCTATTCACTGCTGTGTTCTTCATCCTATGTCACTATTCTCGATGTCTTCATTTTAAATTTGTTTTTGAGACAGAGTTCACTCTGTCACCCTAGCTAGCTAGTGCCCGTGGCATCATCAAACTCACGCAACCTCAAACTCCCGGGCCAAGCCATTCTCCTGCCTCAGTTCCTGGGTAAGCTGGTGACGATAGGCATGTGCCCACCCACCATGCCCGGGATAATTTTTTCTATTTTCACAGAGAGACGGCGGTCTTCACTCCTAGTCCGCGGCTCGATCTCCAATTCTGAGCTCAAGCGAATCTCCCGCCTCAGCCTCCAGAGTGACAGGGTTACAGCGTGAGCCACTGCGCCCGGCCTTAAATAAATTTTAATCAACTACAAGACTCTTATGTTGATAGAGTTTCTCCTACTGTCAAAATATTTTTTCTGCCATTGTTTATGCCTACCCTGTGAATTTTTATTTTAGCAGCTTGATAGAAGTATGAAGAATTCTATTGGTAGGCTTGGATCTTCGGGTGAGATTCTCTGGGTGTGAGGTCTGGGTGCTGTGTGAAATTCATCACACACAAAGCATGTTTCCTCAGAGCTTATCATGATGTTCAAACTATTCTAGCCCACGGAGAGAGACGCAATTCTGTCAACTCCAACTTTTTGGTCATTGTCAGAAAATGCACCTGTAAAGTCTCTAACTTTTAGGTGAAGAAAATGAGACAGGTGGGAGCATGATTTGCCTGAGACCTACATCATCTCGGCTAACGCATGGCAGAGGCCAGACTGCAGCCCGCACCTCTTTGCCTTCAGGAATCACTATGGAGATGTAGCCGTCTGGGTGGGAACCCTGGAAATGGAGGCAGGGGGCACCAGGCAAGGAGAAAACCACTGCAGGAGACCCCACTATGGAGGAAGGTACCCTCAACATTCATGTTGGGGTCCAGGACTAAGAACAATATTATAAAATTATTAATCAGTTCCCTTTGGTGTTCAGTGTTGTCGTGAGAAATTCCCAGATCATTGGTCGCCCCTTGACTACAATGGCAGATCGATCCATCTGGGAAAAACTCCATTCCACATCTGGTAATGTAAGCAAATAGGGTGGCATGATAAAGACTTATGTTAACAAGGTAACCTGCGCATGCGTATTGGCCCTTTCGTTAGATGCATACACCTGAGAGAGAGACGGGTAAGCCTTGTTACCTGTATCAGCACACCCTCACCCTCCACCCTAGTGAACGGTGAAATGAACGTTAAAACCA